TTCAATTAATGTGATTTCTACCTTCGTCTAACATGCTCTAAAACCATTATTTAAACGTTATAAAACCATATTTGCTCTTTCTAAAGAAGAACAAATTTATTCATTTGCAGATATAATGTGACTATAAAATAATTTAATGCATGAAATCGTAAATGTTTGCACCATGTATTCAAATCATTTTTTTTAAAAGCATATTAGTATATACTTGTGATAGAAATCATTTGAGCCGCGTCATGACAAAACCAACATAATGGGTTTGCGATCAGCATGGATCCTGATCAGACTGCGCGGATGCGCATGCTGGTCTGGATCCATGCTGGTCGCAAACCCATTATGTTGTCGTTTTTTTTGTGACGCGGCTCATTTAGTTCCCTTCACTATCAAACAATTTGAAGAGACTATATATGTGGTACCCTAGATTTAACTTTTTCGTAAGAAATAACTTTATTATAATGTTTCATAAAAGTGTTATAAGCTATGATACAGCACATGATTAGCAAGTACTTAAAACCTGTAAGTATGTATGATTATTTTGTCGTTTGGTTCGTTAATGTAGTGATAGGAAGGCGTTATAAAGTTGCGAAAGAACTTTTGAATGTGACATAATGAAGTATAGATCATTATCCTTACACCATAAGAACGCGCTTACATTGCCTGAAATTGAAGTAAAGTAAACATTTACAGATGTGAAGTCTATTAAATTCTAATCAACCGTTAATTCTCTGAAATTTGCGGAAATGCATATGTACTGTAACAAAGAATTCATACGAAATGACAGAATACATTTTCTTTTCTTTTACTTTCAATTAGCCCTTAACCCGCTGTATTTATGTAATGGGTTTGTCTAGCTTTGAATTTAGAACGGCGATTTTAATATCAAAATATAAAAATCGAGATAGTAACAGTATAGAAATTGGGCAGACGACACTGATTTGCAGTTTGACCAGGTTTTATACTGCTGACAAAGTCTGAATACCTTCGGTCCCAGCAAGATAAGAGTTGGCTATCTGTAATTGTATCATAGTTTGGAGACCTTTCTGTTGAAAATGTGTCAGGGTTAAATCGTATACATATACATGCACAGTGCGATAACTGGAGTGCGGGTATTAGTTACCCGCACTCCAGAGCATGCCCATTGATTGGCTCATTTTTGCTGGGGTTTACATATTGTGACGACAGAGAAAGGGAAAGCGACAGAAATGTCATATTCAGATGTTCGTTCATTGGTTCATTTTTGCCGGGGTTTCATATTGTGACAACAGGGAACGTGCTTTTATGTTTGACTATGATACAAAAGAGAAAGAACACCAAAACACTCGGCAATCTGATTAATACTCGGGGGGCTACGCCCCCTCGTACAAATCAGATAGCCTCGTGTTTCGGTGCTCTTTCTATTACTTAACACACTTTTAGTATAAAAAATCATAATATTAACAACTAGTCAGCGGCAGAAGCTCTTAAAGGACCATAATGTCCTCTGTGGTCTTACCATAATGTTTCAATCGACCGGTGAATTCGCTTATTGTATCAATCTGTTAACATCATTTCAAATGTTAAACTGCATTCCGCTCATACGTTTTTAAATTTATATACTACTAATCGTATATCGTTTTTGTATTTGTAATAAAGTAATATATATTTTTGTTTCGTTACGTGCACCATGATTCATTTCATGCATTAAATGACAGAAAAACAAGAAAATATAATATTTGTTTAGTCAATCTTCCAAGAAATATATTTTTATAACAGTCATCTTGATAAACCATAATGACTTTGGACTGGAAAACTTAAGACTGTTTGCTGGAGTGAGTAACAGAGCGTATATATAAAATTCATAGATATTCAAATAATTGTTTGTTTGGAGGAAAATTCAATTTAACTTATTTCTGAGGATACCCACAAGACTATTCAGGGTATTAGGATATTAGATATGTTTTGTATTGAAACTGATGTTGGTTTTACTTATCGAACTTCAAAAACTGTATGTATGTCTCATTTGCGTTCGGAGAGAAAAGAGCAGCATCCCAGCTTGCATCTGTAATTGAGTCTTAGTGATAATTGAGTGCGATGTTTCGCGTATTGTTACTAAGTATAAAATGCAATATGAATTTTACAAACAACATTCTTCGGAAATTTTATGGAATTAGACTGAGAGTTTATACGTTCCACTTAACGGTTCATTTATTTTTTGGAAGTGGAATAATATTTGTCAGATCCAATGTAGATAATAAAATTCGTATCTTTCATCAACGCACTAAGAGTGAAATATTTTAGTAACAATACATTACAATTTGGTGTGAAAAATCCCCAGACTATGGCAAAAACTACCTCTAAATTGGTGTAATTCTGGATCAAAATCAGAAATAATATTTCGATAAAATCAGTTAACTTAGTTACCTTTGTAATAACTATATGTAATTCACATACGTAACATTTTTTACTTTTAATATCTCTACAATATGACCGATTATACGGTACGGTACGTAATAAGCACAACGGCAAATATTTTATTGTGCTAAATCACCAATTGATTGATTGATTTTACACGTATCGATACAATACATTTATCAGCTGTTTGTCTTACTATGATTATGATTTTTTTAAGTTTAGATTTTAGAAACCATTATTTACATTTTAAATAGCGTATATAAAGGAATGGTTATTTTTTCCAAATCTGCTTTTATGCCCTGTCACACTATTTAGGGTATGAGAGAAAACTGTAAATTACATATGGAATTTATCATACACACTGTGTTTGTGCGTAGGACGATTGTCCATGATGAACTTATGGATAGCGTATGAATAGCGTTTGTGTGGCGTAAAATTGGCGAATAATGAAAGAAATGTTTGCGCGCGTATATAAACGTATCTTAACGTTTTGTCACCGTCAGCGTATATTACGTATAGCAGCGTGATTAGTAGCATATGTATACAAGCATTTGAGTAGCGTATGTGAAACTTATCAGCAACGTTTTTAAAAGTAGCGTTACCCTAGCGTTCGTTTTCTGTCCATTTCCAACCTAAATGTCGAACTGTTAAGACGCCAACAAAAGAAAGACTTTGTCCCGCTGTAAACGAATGAGCTAATCCCCAGTTGAGAGAACTGGTACTGCGAGAGAACCTCCTAAGATCCTGCTTGAGGGTAACAGTACCTCAATGAATCAAACGTCTCCTCATTGAGGACGGATCTAGCCCTTCATTAAAATTTTCTTTTTCTGCCCCGACATCCTTTCGTCAGGACACGCCGTATATTTTAGCAACTGTTAAGATTAATAGATATATTTATATATTTGTTATGGTTCTGACCCTCTTTCTACATTGGTATGAAAATCGAGCATGACGATTGAGTAACAAATTTTAAGCGGCAGTTTTAAGCGTTTTCAGCTTTCGCCAAGCGTACTATGAGCGTCTGCGTAACGTCTAATTCACACGCGCGAGAAAAGTGAATAAAATTGAACAAGTTTAGATATACGTATGGGTACGTACATTGAGTATGGCAGCGTGTCTATAAAATGTCTACACATGTACAGTTCCAGTTTATACCTAGCGTATTCATAACGTATATCTACGTATACGAGTGTACGTCCATTTTTTATCATACCCTCGCAAACGATAGTACCATACGCTATATTAACTAGTGTGACAACCGCTTTACTTTAGACACACAAAAATGTGTACATTGGTATGAGAAAGGTTCAAATAAAAAACTGTAGGGATTCAAAATCAAATGTCAAAACTCCTGCTTCATAACCCTGTAATTTCGGATTCTTTAATCACCCGTCTCTTTGTACTTTTTGTTCAGTTCGCTGGACATCGGAGTACGCACAGTGAACATAAAAGACGGGTTTTAATGCTGAATAACTGAAATTAATATATTTGTGTCATTCAAGATAGAAATCTACCCCTTAAAGATAGAAACTTTCTCTCATCAATGATTAATGCAAAAAGATAAAATAGCACGAGAAAAATGGAAACGAGTGCTGACGTCCTGCTATAGTCTTTTTTTTCCCATTATACTTGACCGCAAGAAAAAAATCTAGGCCTTAAATATTGACAGTGCTATTATGCCCGAGGAGTATTCATATTGACACTATCTTCATTATTGCTCTATTTTTATTATTTCTAGACTTTATATTTATAGTATAATATTATTAGGAGCAAGCTTGTTAATGACTACACACGTGCGCACGTAGAACACACGCTGTATTATAGTTATGGTCATATCTAGACAAAACCGTAAAACAGATAGGGACATATCTAGTCAAAAACGTTAGATATTTTATCTAACACGGCTCTAAGATTAATGTACATTATTACAAGTATGACGTATACATAGGTTTTGTATCGTGATAAATTTTAACGTTCATTCAGTAAAACATGAACTATTACAAATGTTTTTTTTCTGAAAGCATGATATTATCTGAAAATATTTATTTTGTTGAGAATGACAGTGTATTTTCTTTTAGTTATATTAAAGTGAGTTAATCATATATCCGTTTTTTGTAATTAGATAATGAACATTTTTTTGGCATGACCTTTATATCAATAATTTATGTGTCCTAACAATTCATGTTTATTTCATTCATTCACAATTACAAAAACAAAGATCAAAGCTTCTACTTGTTGTGTGTTTGGTTTGTTTACCCTCGCCACCGGACTGAACCATATGTGCGATTTAAAATTGACTTTACTTTATTAGGGAACTAAATATATGTTTTCCTACAGTTTTATCTGTACACGTGTCTACGTGTGTGCCATAATTCCTGTCACAAGATCGTCACTATGTGGGACAGGAATAAAATGAGATTCCTCCCATACGAAGTTAAATTCTGAAGTTTTAAAATGAACATAAATTTGAGCTTCTACTAACATTGATTTTATCGTAACAAAAAGATATTATTTTAAAGATATATTTAATGCAAACTTAAAACCATTCAAGATGATAAATGTATGGGTTCGAGTCAATTACGCTACGCAATTATATTATATGATTTTCTTACCTCTGTCTGGGAAGCTGACTATTGTTGATGCATTATACGGACCATCTTTTTTTATTAAACCGCCAGAGTCGGTGATATCATTAAAAAGTTCCAACATAAACTGAGGGGGCGTTGAGTGAACATTGTGTTCCGGTGCATGTTCGATCCCGAACACACGTGATAATCGTTCCATTGCCTCCGTTGACTCTACCTCGGACTTTTTCCCTTTATTTTTCTTTCCTCCGTCAACGTGCGTAATAGTTAATAAATAACATATCACAACAACGTAAATATCCGAAAGGCCTATGGGGGCCTTAAAAATCCACATGTTTATCCAAAAAGCACTTGAGTGAGAATTTAAAGGATTTTGGTCAAGATGTATAAATATTCTCTCACTTAAATTTATCCAGGTCGCAAATCCGAATCAAATGACACATCCATTTGTTTAATCGATTTCTTTTATTAGCTGGATTTTCAAGACAAAATGATAACATTTTGGTTAAATCACACCTAAATCAAAACTTTCAATCGCATTCATTTTAAACTTTTAATCAATCTATAAAATGTGAATCCTTCTGTTTCATATCTAAGTTATACCGCGTGCTCGAGAAAACGTATGATTATATAACACTAATATCACGTGCAATTTTACATCTTAAACAACAAATATCATGAATGAGGCAAATCCAATATTTTTTTTCAAGACTAGTTACATTTTTCCCACACCTGGTATGCCTTGCCTTATAATAATATAAAATATGCAAAGGCACGTTTAACCACCGCTATATAACCATTTCTCTAAAATCCGCAAATAATAAATAGCCCCTTTAACGTAAAGTTATATTGTTTCATTGAAAAATAAATAAAACATTCTCAATGAAAGAGAATCCACTTTGACCATGAGTGAAATAAAACGAACAATTCTAAATTGTATTTATAGGCGGAGAATAATTCGTAAAGCTCTCGAAAGAGCGTTTTATGTTTTCCCCTTGATTTAGCTTTACACCAGAAGCTTCTTGCTTTGCGTTGAAACAAAACGAAGTTTAAGAGCGATATAAATCCAGCATGTTTATTAACTTATCTTGATGTTTAACTTGAACATCTACGAATCAATCATTTATATACATCAACTCCGGCACTGACAAAAGTCTGAAATCTCACATTATTACACGAGAACCGCCGATGAACGCTTAATCTTCATCTGGCCACATGCAGTTAACTAAATTCCAATCACTTATCGAGACTTAGATAAAAATCTTTTTTGCGTATTTTTCGCAGTTATTTTTTAAACAAAACGCGCCACTGTGTTAATTGTTTGTCATCTACAAAATAGTAGATTAGCTATCATTCCGTTTGTCTGTGATAAGCTATCCTTCCGTACGTTGTGTCAAAAACTTTGTCTCGTGTTGGTAGTCAAGAGATAAATATCTCATCTCAAGTCTTTAAAAAAAAGTCAAATTATCCTTCCCATCCAAAACTACTCAACTGTTTAATTCGACAAAAAGGAGTTATATTCTAATGGGAAAACCATTAGCTTTCACAGAAAAGGTTGGTTAATAAAGTAACCCCTATTTAAAGTTTAACAAAACCAAGAGTAACTTTGTTAATTTGATATCTGAAAAGAAAATGTAAACAGACTAAAAATAAATAATTCATGCTCAAATCTGTTAGATATTTAAATAGCGCCCGGTGATCTTTTATTCTTAAAAAATAACGAAAAACAACGCTGAAAACACATGGTGGCCGAAGAATAAATTTTAATACTAGTAAATGGTGGGATTTTCAGTTTTAAATGAAACGAGTATACCCCTTTATTAAATGAACATTTCAACACCTGTGAGACTTAAATCCGCCTGTTGACTATTGGTTAGAGATTTCACAGAGTGTTTTCAAATTTGCCAGGTGGGCAACTCGAGTGGCAGAAAGTCAACAAGTTTAGCGCATATAACTAAAACCCAGGACTATTATCTTCATTCACGAGCCTACGATTTGTTTGTTTTCCACACAAAACTGAAATAAACGAAATATTGTATATCTCAATTCACAAATAAAATAAGATTGACACTAAAGTTTTTTTTTCACTCGATAAAATTTTTAAGACTATTTTCTTTTTCCGCTCGATATTGCGGGATCGTCTCCCGTCCATTCATCAAAGAAATTTGAGCTCACTGGTGACAAGCGAATCCCAATATAAACAATTTTCTAGTGTATGTATTGAAATAGAATATCATTTTTCAAATGCATGTTTTGCAATGTAACAATCTATTGAGTTTTATTACAGAAGTACTGTGATCTTGTACGTGCAGATACACGTATCCAAACTACACGTTACATCTTTAGAGGTCAGGTGTCACAAACCCGACCCCCTAAACAAAACCTCCCTAAATAATTATTGTATGGTTTTATTGTTGAAAAACATAACATATAATACATAAAGAATACGACCTTTGTTATCACTGGTTATAATGCTGAATTGCAACTAGCATAGATTAATTCTGTATCATGTTCAAACATTGATCAAGCTGTGGACGCAGCTGACTTTTTTTTAACAAATGACAAGTGATATTTGCTATAGTAATCACTTTATTACTTGAGACAAAAACACTGTCTTGTATAATTGGCTTTCAGTCATTCTTTACAGAAATCATGTTTCGCGCCCTGAATTTTGAACTCAGGAGACCCTCGTTTGTGTTTTAAACTGTTTTTCAGTTGATCTAAGAAGACGCTTAAATTCCTGATAAGCACAATTTAATTACATTGTAGTTTAATAAATTCATGTTCGGCTACATTTATATTGTTATTATTTCTAGAATTTACCGATTTATGGTTACAGAGCTTGTTCTGTCTGAAGACTTATATGTACTTTTACCAGAATTTTTTTTTTAGATTAACAAATTAATTTAGATTATTTCCAGACCTGTCATGTAAAAAATAAAACAACCTCATTGGAGTCCCTTTAAAAATACTTTAACGAGATTTGCTGCCGGTTCTATAAGTGATTTTTTCTGACAGAGTATTCGATAGAGTATTCTGTATCTACTGGAAAACTCATTCGCATTTAAACTTATGACAGTGCATGATCAGTTAATAAAAAGTTTTCGCTTTCAGTATACAAAATGTATTTAAATATCTATTGTCTGTATTATACATAAATAAACAATGTGATCTTGCCGAAGAAAGAGACATCAAAACAAGAAAAGTACATAAAAATTATGATGATTGAAAGTTATTCAGTTTAATTAAGAGCACAGACTTTTTACTTTAATATTTTACAAAAGGTATGTTAGGTCTGTCAAATCGAACTGTGAAAATTGAAAATAATTTCAAATAAAATTCCAAATATTGTAGATTTCGATCATCTTAAGGATGAATAATCAGGAATGAATTAGAAATATAATCGATTCTTAACGCGTACGGAACACGCGTAGGAAACAACTGTTAAATTTGTACCAAATTATGAGTAATTAGACCTGGAAATGATATTCAGTTGATATTATCTAAGTAAATTCCTGCATAAGCATGCCATAATTTACATATTAAAAATAGAATTTTACAAAATACAGTTTCAAACAGGAAATAAATCCCTTCTTATAGATATCTATAAAATTCAAGCGGAGGGATTTATGCGTGCACGAATAGAAACGAAAATAGTGTCGCCGGCAAAGCGATATCACAGCTTCTTACGTCGGCATTAAAATAACGGATACATTAAAATCTCGTTTGGAAGACATTTATCGTTGAGATCTATCCAAGTTCCCGCAACTTTTAAGAATCATCTTGTCGTCTGCGATAGATAACAACGCAGGGGATTCTACTTAAAACTTCATATATTTTTATTCGGGACGATTGTTTGATTACAGATTTTAAATAATTGTTACTTTTATGTGATAAGAGCAGTTTTTATTCGCATATTTCCCTGACTTTTCACACATCTTATCAAATTATTCGAACATATTTTCAAGGGACTTCACTGCAAGCTTTGAAAAACTATATGTCATAAGAGTGAATGCCCTTGATCACATTAAATACAGAATACTACATTTATTCAATATGTATAAATATACAACATAAATTTCGAACTCTAATACATGCGAAGTAATTAAAAGAATAATTGTACTAACAGAGTACTTGTATTTACTTGTCTGTCACTTATAATATCACTCTGTTTACTAAGTTATCTCAATTAGAAAGGCATATGTGCCTTTTTCGGTCCTTTGTACTCCTTATTTATGTCAGCATTTTTCTTGGATTCCTCAGCGGAACGCTCGTACGGTCTCTTCAACGTTTTCTTGCACAGGGTAACACCAAATCCTGGACGGTCTGGAAGATCAATGAAACCATCCGCAGGCAGTGGTTCGTCGGGAAATAGTCCCCCGAAGTATGGAACTATTTTATCTGCTTTAGGGCTGAGGTTGATATATTCGGCAACTGGGCAGTTGGTAAATGCATACTGAAGATGGTAAGAATAGACGCTTGAGCCGTGAGGTATAATCATTGTATCATGAGCGGCTGCCATAGAAACCACTCGCCTTGCCTCCGTAATTCCGCCTAACCACGTGATATCCGGTTGCAGAATATCAACACATCTAGAATGTATAAGTCTATCAAAACCATAACGATTGTATTCATGTTCTCCCGTTGTCAACAAAACCTTTGAACCACGTAGATTTTCACGTACTTGAGCATAGCCCTCGTAATCATCCGGTGGCAGAAATTCTTCCATCCATTTCAAACCGTACGGCTCGAGCTCGTTGGCAAGACGTGTAGCATACGGGACAGTCAACGCCATGTAACAATCGAGGCTCAATGGGAACTCGTCTCCAACCTTTTCTCTCCATCCTTTGTAGAACTCAATGTTTTTCTTTAAACCTTCATTTCCAGCCGAAGGACCGTACGGACATGGAATTTTGGCGCCAACGAAACCAAACTTTTGGGCGAGATCTGGTCTAGCTGTAGTACAATAGACTGGAAGTCGCTCCTTTGTTTTGCCGCCAATCAAAGCGTACACTGGTTCATTTCGTATCTTTCCAAGTAAATCCCATAGCGCCAAGTCGACAGCACTTATTGCTTGGATAGGAAGTCCCTTCCTGCCATAGTTTAAGGTGGAACGAAACATCTGATCATAAATAAGCTCTACATTACGAGGGTCCTGCCCTTCTATAAATCTACTTAAATGTTTCTCAACAATAAAGCAACCAGGTTCTCCGCCTATGGACACGCCTACACCTGTCGTGCCGTCTTCGGCTTCCACTTCAACAACAAGTGAACCTAGGGCATTTATTCCCCAGGATTTTCTCAATGGTTGGTAAAGTTCATACATCGACATCTGATTCGCCACCGGCGTCGGATATCCATTGATCCAGTGTTGGTCGCTGACGTCATGACAATCGGCTCCCTGGTCTCCTTCCTGGGCCTGTGAAACGTACGCACGGACAGTCTTAATTCGTGGAAATGCCCTGCAGCTCATTATGTCCCTTTAAGACAACTGAAACTGTCTGTATAAGTTAAAGAGATAGATGTGTATATATCTAAAAAGAAGACGTTATCTTCGTGATATCGGACATTATCTAGACGTGTACAGGCATAAGAAGACCTTGATGGTGACCCGCAAATAGACGATGTGTATCATATACATGTACATGCATGTATATGAAGTAGTGCTCGTCGGGCAGATTTCATATGAAAAATAAATTTGAATAAAACACTGTTGGTGTTTAAGGCATGACTCTTTATAAAAGAGGTTTTATCATAGATTGAAGACCTTTTTATTAAAAATGAGTCCGAGTTAAATCGTATACCCATACATGCACAGTGTGGTAAATAGTTACCGGCACTCCAGTTACCACAGTGTCTGTCCGCGATAAAATAAGAGCATGTTCGTTGATTGGCTACATATTTCTGAGGAAGATAGAGGGATAGAGGGCAGCAATAGAAAAGTCATATTAAGATGCTCTTACATTGCTTACTTTTTGTTTGAGGGTGAGTGGGGGTGGTCATATTGTTAGTGCAGGGAAGGTGTTTCTAGTTTGCCCATGTCAAAAAAGGGAAAGAACATCAAAACTCTTGGGAATCTGATTTGTACTCGGTGGCTATGCCCCCTCATACAAATCAGATAGTCTCGTGTTTCGATGCTATTTCTATTACATGTACATGGACCTTTTGACTACTACAATGAAAATTTATTCGCAAATGTACATAACACATTGTAAATTATTTGAGTTTGAAATTTAAAGCAAAACTGTATTACAAGGGTGCAAACGTACTAGTCCCTTTGCAAAAAAAGTAATTTTGAAAATCGCAGGGGCCCCATTAACGGAATTGCCCAAGAAGATACGATGATTATACACGGTATTTATAACCGTTCAATATATTGACCCGAGATATGTGTACTTTGTACAATTACATCTGCATGCTATGTAAATACGTCATTTTAAGTTATAACTGACTTATCTGCAATAATATATATCTTAAACATGTATAGTATTTATATCTCACACAAGCTGATTGATAACCGTGACCGGTTTAACTCTTTATTTTTCAAGTGCAGACGGAGTACATGTGAAAATCTCATACAACGACATTTCGACACTAGACACTGTGACATTGCGGTAGGCTTTCAAGATGGCTTCAGTTCAAGAAATACCCAAAACGATGAAAGCACTGATAAAGGAAACGGAAACAGAATCGTACATTTACAAAGAAATGCCAGTTCCGGAGCCGGAGGGAGATGAAGTTTTAATAAAGGTCGACGTAGTTTCTATTTGCGGCTCCGATATATCTCTGTATAAATGGAGCGACATGGCTCGTGTCATAGCAACCGTTCCTTTTATTCCAGGGCACGAGACCGCAGGCACTGTCGTGAAATGTGGTCCCGATGCCACATTAAAAATTGGTACACGTGTTGGAGTCGAGAATCATTTCTTTTGTGGAGATTGCTATCAGTGTAATAATGGACTGAAGGAGATCTGCTTCAATATGGGTCAATATGGACATGGCAGGAAGACGATGCATGGAGGGTGTTCAGAATATTCCATCGTATCACAGAAATACCTATACGTTATAACAAAGAATTTAAGTAAGTGCATGTATATTAATTTAGAATTTATATCCAGATATCCAGTGTGTCTTATTTAAACAGTAACAAAGCGTTATTTTGTATGTTGTTTCTATTCATTTATTAGTTTTACTGTTAAAATAAATTCTTCTAAATCAGTCAAACATATTTATAACCTTTAAAAAGTGTATACAATATCGAAATATTAACAACATATGTTACCTTTATAATGCATGTGCGACGTCAGTTTACATTTTTACTGGGAACATATGTTTTGGTTTACAGATGCAGAGGAGATAACTATGTTAGAACCGCTAGGTGTTGCTCATAATGGAATAGAAAGGTTAAAGGTTAAGGACGAAGATGTATTGGTCATCGGATGCGGACCCGTAGGATTGCTCGCACAACGGGTAGCAAAGGTGATGGGGGCAAAAAGGTACGTAAATTTTTTTTTTTCAAGCATGGAAGTATGAAAGTCCCCATGGAAGTTACCATCTAACTTATGAATAGAATCTAAATGTATTTCTCATTTTGACCCCTGGTGTTGCTTTAAGTTTGTAACACCCGAGGTTAGCAATAATCATTTTCCCTGTTTCGACGCCATGTGTTCTAAATTGTGTTGGTGCGCCGTAAACCAAACCAAACGAGCATGGCATGTTTTGTTTTTTCAAAATGTAATGAAATAATGTTAGTATTACTTTATGCTTGAAGGGTAATCGGGGTTGATATTGAAGAGTGGAAGTTGAAGTTAGCAAAGGACATTGGTACTGATATAGTGATCAACACAAAAGAGAAGGATTTAAAAGAGGTATCCAGTTTAGCATTTCCTTCATTTTAGGAAACATGTAAGCTATCTAATTTAATCGTTAAAAACAACACGAAAAATATTTGTAAATCTCGGAGTTATTAAAATAGCCATACTGTTATGTCTGAACAACTGTTATATTTTATTTTAAAAGAACACAAAATTAGGCCGACTATCTTTTTACAAAATAGCACATACAACTACAACTAGTAGACTACAAAAAGTTAAATTTAAGGTATGTCGTTATAATAAATTGTTGTTTAGCAACTGTTAAGTAAAACATTTATTAAGCCCATTTCTTTTGCAAACCAGGCAATGATGGAAATGACTTCCGGTTCCGGTATAGGACGTATTTGTGAGTGCAGCGGAAATGCTGGAATGCTTAACTCATGTTTTTCGTATTTGCGGAAAGGTGGCCGAGTGGTGCTTATTGGATTACCGAAACAGCCGATCCATGTTGAACACCCGCTTCCGGATATAAGTAAAACTTTTTGTAGAATCCTTGTGTTTAGTCATTAGGTCCTGCGCGAATCTGAATGATCGGTGGTTCTACTAGGTGCCCTTTTGTGCCTGAAGTGCCTATAAGGTCTTCCTCCATCAGTGAAACTGGAAATTCGCCATATGGCATATATTATTAAATTAATGCGACGTAAAACCCAATGAAAAGAAGTTATATCGAATTGAAGAATGACATCTTGATTGCAGTTTCCAAATCACTTTTGCCAAAGTTATATCGAATTGAAGAATGACATCTTGATTGCAGTTTCCAAATCACTTTTGCCATAAAGTGCAATCTTCATATTTAGAAAAAAAATCCTTTGAATATACATAGTATCATTTATAAAATACGGATTTAAAGGGAATGCATTTCAAATTTTAGCCAAAGCATATTTTTATCGTGAGGATTGTTTAATTTATTTTTTTCAAAGTAGACTGTAAAGAGAGACACCGTACTTTGTTTCTGTCATATTTTCGACCAAGTCTGTGACCGATTGGTAAATGTCGTTGACTTCAAACCAGTTGCCCATCAAAGTGGTATGTTCGAGCCGCGACAGCGTCTTCGGTTTCTTTTATGTGAGAAAGCTATCCATCTAGCCCACGGAAAGTCGCTGGTTCCACTCAGGTGCCCGTTTGTGTCTGAAATAATGCACAAAGGGGCACCAAAGGTCTTCCTCCCCCAAATAAAGCTGAAAGTTGCGATATGACCTATACTGTGTTGGTGCGACGTAAACCAAACAAAAAAGACTAACGCAATCATGTAGACTCCTACTAATTGCACATACAAGTAAACTTGCCTACCTTTTTCTGATTCTTCGTGCTCAGATAATGAGATATGTTTCTCATTAATGTATGTTTGTTATAACGTCTTGTATATTTAATGTTTTTTTCAGTGTTCAAATGTTTGACGATAAAGACAGTGCACGGTCGTCGGATCTATCACACGTGGGAAGCACTGGAGAAAATGGTTGCCGACAAGTCTGTTGACGTGGATAAAGTGATTACACACCGCTTCCCGATGTCCAAATACGAGGATGCGTTCAAAACCCTGTTTAGTGGTGCTGCGTGCAAAATAGTTATGGACCCTTCCAAATAAATCATCTATTAAATAGACGACTTTGTATTCGAGACAAGCAACGAGCGCCATATAATTTTACCCTAACAGAATCACTGATTTATCTACTGTAAAAAAAACAGATTTTGCCAATTAATAAACTATACTTCCTAATGGAGTAAAAATTGTAATATTTCAAAAAGTGCAATAAGAAATAAAGAATTTTCAATTGTAAATTTGTGTTTGTGTTGTTGTCTTATATCTATATAAAGGTAGATAACCAGTCTGTAGTAGATATATACATGTATGATCTGGAGGTGAAGATAATTTTTAACGTATATTTTCCTATTGATCATTTGTATTAGTGTGCAAAGGTCTTTTTATAATTAACTCCCAAGTGTTGACAATTAATACGAACATTTCATACCCAAAACTCGGACCTGTGAAACCCCTGCCATGTTTGAGTCTCTCTCAAAATAACGAATCTATTGAAACGTTTATACATTAATGTTTTGTATCACAATGTCCGTCAATATGTAAATTAACTTAAAAAATATTATTTTATTTTTATATCGTTTAACAAACTGTAATGAACTGATTTTTTAATAACATAATACTGTTTATCACACACCCGTGCCGATTTTACGACTCCGTAAATATGGTATTGCACGGCCGTGCATATATTTTGACGTGACGTCATTAGCATTATACAAGCATAATGTAAAGACGCGCTTAATGTTAGCGTTAAACTTTAGGCGCGTCAATGAATGATGACTCTTATTTCACCTTAAACGGTGTTTAATTTTGGTATGTGATAAATAGAATATTAAATTCGTGTAAGTTCATTACTGAATTTATTGCACTCGTTGAATAAAATAATATTATGCTCGCCAGAGGCTCGCATAATATAATTTTATTCAACTCGTGCAATAAATTCAGTATTGAACTTACACTCATTCAATATCCTCTATTTATGGAAGATATGTGCAATGCATTTCTGTTAAGCAGGAAAATATTAACAACACTTTAAATACACATGCCTCCTGATGAGATAACGATATTCAGAATCATATAAATAAAGATTTGGAAACAAAGGATAATAGAAATACTTACAGTCAAAATTTCTGTTTGCATGTTTTACTTCAGTTGTAATAGAATTTACTTCTTTTTATTTCACAACTATAAGATGAATACGTAACCATTGAATTTGCAGCTTGCACCATGTGACACCCTGCCCCCCCCCCCCCCCCATCACTCGTTTTTATTTTGTCGGTCCAACCTTTCCGTATCAAATCACTATTGTACTCTTTCTGGCCTCATTAAAATGTACATCAAATCACTATTTTACTCCGACTAGCTCGTTTTTGTTTTCAGATTAAGTAAATAATATCAAATCCATATTGTACTCAAAGTATGAATGTTCTGTCAAACTGTTAAACATTTTGTGATGTGAAATAAAAATGTCAATTTTGAATACAATACTGATTCTATTGGACATTTACACAGCTGCAACCTCATTATTAGACTATGCTGACCCAAACAATTCAGTATTGGAACACCATATTATCAACCTAATCCATTTCTAACGGTATATAATGTACAGGTATTTTGTCTTGGACAGTAAGTGTTGAACGTTTTGCAGCTCAGACATGGTCTTTTTCCAAATATCACGAATCTATATGAATACTATTCTAAGGTAGAATTTTTCTATTGGCAGAAAAGGTTCAGGTAGGAAACAACTCATTTGATCTTTAATCTCTTCATATATTTGGCTGCATGATAAAATCTACCATAATCGTAATGTTTAATTAAAATCCCATATGCATCTATGCAAAATGAGGCCCAGGGAAGGTGTTTCCAACGTCCCCTGCATTTCAATCGTGAACGTTACCGTTGTCGAATGTTAGTAACCAGTTTGGGTCAATAAGAAAATAATACACTCAAAACCAGCTTTTGTTTTTTACCATTCAAGTTTGTATATCAAGTTACCTAACTTTTTAACTCTTAATCACTTATTGTCATTTTTTCTTGTTAATAAACTTAATAGCATTTTTCAATAGCATTTACGATATTAATTCTTTTTACTTGGTTAAGATAAAATGAAAGTTTCCCGGTAGGTTGCGAGATAAAATCAACTTGATACTTAAAGTCTTGAAGTTATTTAACTTTCGAAATGTGTCGTTGTGGTCTTTGTTTATGTTTGTGTTTCAAGAAAAGACCGGAGGAAGTTTTTGTTAAACCTAGGGTAAGTAAAAATTTATTTATAAACGCATGTGAACACTTCAAATTCACAGTTTCAGAAGAAACCATGAATGTATTTTTTTTTTTGAGTAGGAAAAAAGTAAAATAATGTGGTATATGTAATAAGACAGACATATTGGTACATTGATACATCGCAAAAACATATAAGCATTGACAGAAACGACACAAACGGTAAATGTGTTTGTCCGTCTGAACCAATAAAGTTCTAGCGTTAAGATGTTTTGTTAGCGGAACATATAAGTAATTACAAAGTAATTTTGATGTTTCTATCGTAATTATTTTGATCATGTTTTGTACTTTTTATTAATCAATATATTTATGTTTCGTAAGTGAAAGTATGTTATTCTATATCCTTCGTTGTAAAGGGAACTTTAGAATTCTTTTGACATTATACGAACCGTGGCATTGAATGAACATATTGTTCTAGCAAGATCAAAAGTAACGAAGCAATAAGTAAAATTGGTCTAGTTGATATGTTTGGTAAATTATTATACGGATTATATAGGACAAAATGTTGCTATGTTTATGTATTGGAGACAAGGGTGAAGAAATAACACTGCAACCGGTAAGTTTGAAAATAAAAGTTTAGCATTTATCTAAATTTTAAACTTTCTACAACACGAGCAAAGGTATAATTTAAGGTATAAAAAACTTAACATTTTAAAGAATCAAATCAAAAGCACTTTTCTATTTCGTCATCCTGTGTAGAAACAAAAATAAAAATATCTTCTGGTTTTTCTTCGAAGATGGGTGTTGGACCTAGCACGACTGTCCCAAAGAACCTGATCCTTTATATTCACGGATTGAGCGCCCCCTCGCGGGCTGTATGGATGACAGCCAAGGCAGCTAATATTCCTGTTACCATACGATACCTGGATTTGTTCAAAGGTGAACATAAAACGCCGGAATTTGCAAAGGTATATAATTGGCACCATTCATAAATTGTGTCTTGTCAGAATTAACAACTCTTGATGATATAAAACAGGGGAAGTATATTAAGCATCGAAATAATTTGAAATTTTATTTATAGCAATCTATTTGCAGACGCGTTAGAATAACGTCTGCTGTAATTAAAGAATAATATTAACATTCAGTGAGAATATTATGATTGAAATTATGTTGTTTTTTTCTAAAGTAAATCTTAAAATTAATTGTACAATCTATTTATGTATTCACAAAAACCTTTGGCGCCATTTTGTCATACGTCGTAATTCATGTGCTGAGATATAATTAAAGAACACTTTTTTACAGATTAACCCAGATACAACGGTGCCTACCTTACAAGATGGGGATTTCTCTCTTTGGGAAAGGTATGTTCATTCATAAATCATAATGATATATTAACATCACATTTCCATCACTGCTATGTTTTCGAATCTCAAAAATTGTGAGCTATTTCAGAGACGAAACTGTTCATCTAGCTAACGGAAACCAGTAACACTGTCATAGTGAACGCTCGTGTCCGCAAGTGTTTCTAGAATGTTGTCACATCACCTGCACAATTTGGTGTTACTTAAAACATATTCTCATTGATCTTAAGTTTTCCATTTTTAATGAGTGTTTACCCATGCCTAACTTAATATCTTAAATGGACTAGTCCATCTTTCATTATGAACAAAAGCTGTTATCATTTTTAGAGAAAATTTCAAAATAACCATTGACTGAATAGCAAACAATGCAGAACATGATCACGCGACACGGATGTGCCGGCTGATCTTGGTCTGCACTGGTCGCATGGGCAGATTCATCGTCGCCTGCAGACTAAGGGTTAATTTATATATCTGTGGTCTATCCTTACAGTCGGCCGATCATGACGTATATAGTGTCTCGTTACGGGAAGAACACAAGGTTATATCCAAAGGATCTCCAGCAGAGGGCGGTGTGTGACAGACTACTACACTATGATCTAGGCTCCGTTTATAAAACAATCAGTGAATACATGGTAGACACTATTACTAAATATTCTTTTGGGAAAAAAACTACTATTTTTTGCATAAATTATTATTGAGGAATCACATTTTGTTGAATATTAAAAATAACAGATGACTGCACAGTACACACAATAATATGAAATATACTGTGCTTTACTTCCTTTCCGTTTTAATAGAGAACTTTTTCTAAAGCCACGCATGTATTTTGAACCGGAGTTTTAGTAGTATAACATGTATTGTTTTCTTTTAAAAATATGTCATGTGTATGAAAATAAGTATTTAATTGTCGTTTTCACTCAAACAATCCAACTCTGTTTCCCCCTTAACCTGCTAAATCTCTGTACAGGATTTGTCAAGTTCAAACTATATCAAGATAAATACAGTATAGATCCTGGTCAGACTGCATAGATATGCTGGCTAGCCAGGTTCTATACTGTTGAAAATGGCTGGTCAATTCCGGTTCCAGCAGGTTAAGGGCTAGGGAAATATCATGTACATGATGCTCATTTATTGACTTATTCATTGTTAACGGTTATTACAGTACCCGCAGTTATTTCAAGCGAAACCTCCGGACACGGACAAAGAAGGGGCCATGCGGAAAACATTTGACTACATGAACCGTCAGCTACAAGGTCAGAAATATATGTGTGGTGACGACATGACAATTGTTGATATATCCATGGCAACAAACCTGGCTCTCATAGAATTAAGGAATTATAAACTAGACAATTGGTCTCAACTTAGCATATGGTTTCAGAGGATGAAAAGTTTGTCTTACTGGGCGGAATGTAACGCTGGACTTTATGAATGGAAATTACCCATGTTAGAATAGTACACGTGTATAAAGTAATCAGGTGTATGAACAAATGATAATTAGGAGCAAACCACTTTATAATCATTTTTTTCTTTTTTTTTAAAATATTTTGGTGGTATATGAAAACTAAGCATGTATTGAGAATGTATAACTGAAATTTGTTTAATTGGACATTGTTAGCACAAATTAGTAACACTAAATATAGATGTCACTTTATGATTTTGAAGTACAAGTCACCTACATGATGGAGGCTTGGATATATAGATTCTAATAAACGCTTCAACCTCACTGACTTTATTACAGTCAAGGGAGGTAACTAAAAATACGGACAAGAAATAAGCAACCAGAGCATTATGTTACTGGTAAATCAACGTTAAGGTCTGAGCTTTTCAGATTTCAAACACCTGATACATTTAGACTAAGTCCAACAATACAGATCCATTACATTTAGTAACAAACTCTTAAGTTTTGGTCATTATATTAGGACAAATATTTAACTTGCCTGTATTAATTCATATACATGTACTAATAAATTTTAGTTTTAGTAACTACTGTAATCAAGACAATGGAAATAAATAGACAGACTGAAAAAAAAAGCCGAATTGTCAGTTTCAGAATTAAAGTGATCATCTGCAGGCACAAAAAATTAACGAAATCTTTTACTTTTATATGTTTACTTATATAATAGCTCACAATTATGTAAAAACTTTCAACAACTTTTATAGGATAGCATATACAGAATAAGGTACAATCTTAGAAAAACATATGAATATGCTATATAAAGTACCATATTTAAAGAATAAATTAAAGAAAATTATACAGAATTGTTTTATATTTTTCCAATAAAAAGTGACAAGTCTTACACTTACTTCACAGAAACAATATACAATAACAATAGCACACATACACCATGTCTTCTCAATTATACAATAGCAAATTGTCAAATAAAAAACAACAACAAAATTATACAATGTACATTGTATTCTGAAATATATATCTATACCGGTATATAACAAGAGCTGTCTGAGGGACAGTGTGCTCAACTATTCTCAGTTCTTGATAGTAAAACAAGAGCCTGAATAATGTAAAATTTTCTAAGTTTAAAAGGGACCATAATTCTGTCAAAAATCTATGTCAGAATTATTGGCCTGAAACAATAACCTCATTTATGCTCTAAAATAACCATGTGAAGTTTCAACCCATTCCCTTCAGTAGTTTTGGAGATACCAACTTGCAAGCAAAAACTTAACCAAAGTGTCAAGCCGATGTCTGGGCGAGTACATTTGCTCTTTTTATCATTATTAAGTTTCCTTAATACTTAAAAACAAATAATAATATCAAATGAAGTTCAACTACTTTTACATGTATACAAACATTATGAATCTCCAAAGCCCTATATCACTTAGTACCTTTATAAAAAATACTTTTTCATGTCAATTAAATACAAAACAATATTGAAGATTTCATTAAACCTCCAGGTATTAAGTTCATCTGTCACTATGGCAATAAAAATAGTGTAAACATTACTTATGTTGGAAAAATCTGAAGAAGAGTATAAAAGAAGTTTTATTATAAAGATTTGGTGTAAATACAAGAAGTACTGACAAAAGACAAATGTTCAACCTTTCAAAGAGCTTAAATCCCTTTAAACTTGAAAATTAAACAACTTCCTATATTAATTTGTTGGAGTAAAATATATTTCTCACAAATATCTTTAAGTGGTTTTCTTCAGGATTTTTAGGCTAAGTCAAGTACATCAAATTAGATTGCTAAGGTTTAAAATCACAATAATACTGAACAAGTCGTATGGCAATATTCCAACTTAACTCCTGGATGACCATCAGTGCAAATCCATGAATAGCTTCCTAACATGAGAGACTCTGAAGTCCCTAACAATAAAAAGCCACAGCAGGTTGCAAATTAAGTTACATTAAGCACTCAGCCAAGAAGGCCAAAAAATTACCTACAAAGAGAAGTAACTAAATTTTCTTCATTACAGTTTAAAAATAGTAAAAGTAATCATTATATTGCACTATTTGTTTTATTTGTGTAGACTATTTTAATATCTCACATTGTATATGCAAATACATGTAGATTTTGTAACTCACCAATCTTATCTTTGAATTATTTAAATGGAAGAATACAGCAGGTAAGGAAAGGGGTTGGTACTCTCAGTGCCTGAAAGTGTATGGACCCTTATTAAACTTAGAACACACACATAAGGAAATAAAATACAGTTGCGTCTTTTCTACAGATGGTGTACCCAGACCTGTGAATATTGTACAGATGTACATGGTTTTCCCAGTATCTGTCCAAAAAGTTGACAATAGAGCGCTACATCAGCATAACTAACAAAAAGCTTAAAATGATGTTACCATAGCAACGTTACAATATCACTGACATCTAGATATCACATACATATTGTAAGGCTAATTTTGTTTGAATGACTAGATTAAATATTTACACTGATTTCACAACAGATTTACTCAAGCAGCTTTATCTAAAAAGAAATAAAAATGATCCCAGTTTTCTCTACAGAACAAAGAAATATTCAAAAATAACATAAAGTATGACTATAAAATTACTCATAATAGATAAGTTCAACAGTTAATAGTGATTTGTTTTATGCTAAGTTAGAACATCAAGGTAGGGTGTAGAATGATTGAGGAACTAGCAAATTTTATTTTCAATACAGATGGTTTTATTTTTTTAGCAATTGGTACTTCCAACTTACAGAGCTGAGACATTTATGTGAGATTTTACCAACAAACTTGTCTATGCAGGGCAGGGTGTTTCTAAAAGTTCCCAGTATTTTGCATGGCAGGAGAGCAAAAAGTTAGAATTGGTTGATACATATAGTTAACATGAAAACAAACTTCATTATATCAATGTTTCATGTTATAAAAGACTATACGATTTCTAACAGCTGTTATGACACACTATTAAGATTTAATTGTAGAAAACCTCTTTCAAAATATAAAAGATATTTGAAAAATTTTTCTACAGCAAATGTCATGAATTTGTAACTGGTCAGACTGCTAGGTCACTGTATAAAGAAATTGCCAAATTTCCGAGAAAATATAATGTGTATATTAGACTGATAGATACTATACATGACATGAAAGAAAATTAATATTACTTTTCTTTTAAATTGTAACGAATTAAAACAAAATCAGGTTTGTAAAAATATATTTTAACAATCATCAAAATTTAAAACTTGAATCTTGCAAAAAAAAAAAACACAACAACTTAATGTTATAAAATTACAATAAAAAAAAACACTATAATATTCATAGCCAAAATTTCTAACAATTGTAAAGTCATCAATATTTTATATCAAACATTTCTTTGTTACTGCCCTCTCCTTACATTCACAGTCTCTTCTAATCTGACAAGGAAATCTACAGAATCATTTGTTTATAATTGTTCAATTCATTTGGTCCTCAGATCCACTAAAACTATATTTTTATCATCAACAAATCTTGCATGGGAGCATGTCTGAAAATAAGAAATGAAAATCAAAAGCTTACTTTCTGATAAAAAAATATAAAACATATTTTATTCACATTCCTTATGTCATTATAAAATTCTTCCATTAAATCTTTACTTTTACCCTCTTTACATTCAAAGATTTAAATATTCTAACAACAGCTTTAAATTAACAAATATTAAAGCTAAAAATAAATTTAATTAGTGTTATATTTTATGGTTTCAACACATTTATATATGTCCAAATAAAAAGTGAATATTTATGGTAATGCAAAATTAGTTTTTAAAGGAATTATCTTTTGTATTACACAGAGTAGCATATTCTTACAGACAAGTAAAATATGGGTACAACAATACATATAAATTTTGGTTATGTCAGCATGACCGTACATTGATGTTTGCGTGCTTCAAGAACTACATAGTATTGTTGTTAAACATACAATGTAAATCTTTATTGCTTGTTATTGTATCTAAATAATATTTGAGCTCTATGTCAGTTGTGAGTATAGGTTTGTCACAATGTATTTTGTTTTTCTCTTAATCTATTCCAAATTTTAGTAATTAAGCATTTTGGCAACTTTATCAATCACCTCTTAAATTTTCATCTAAGTAAAACTTTCTTTAAATATCAAAAAAGAAATTACTAATAACATTGTTTGTTTGTTTCATTTAATGCCTTTTCCCAACAGCATTTAAGTCATATAGGTGGGTAGTTTCCTAACCATCGTTCCTGGAGAGTTACACCAGTACTAGACTACCTTCCTCCATGCTAAACTACCAAAGCATCTCCCGGGGATCAAACCCACGCCAGAGAGGTAACTGGATTAATAGTCATTGACTCTAACCCCACGGAGGTGGTTACTAATAACATTGCAAAGATCATGTAAATTAGTGAAAATTTATAGAACAGAAGTGATCAAGAGTGCTCCAGTAAATATCAGATATGTGGGGTATTAAATTGATATATGAGCCGCATCACAACAAAACCAACATAGTGCGTTTGCGACCAGCATGAATCCAGACCAGCCTGCACATCCGCGCAGTCTGATCAGGATCCATGCTGTTCGCTATCAGTTTCTCTACTTGTAATAGGGTTGGTAAGCGAACAGCATGGATCCTGATCAGACTGCGCAGAGGCGTTGCATGGTCTGGATCCATGCTGGTCTCAAACGCACTATGTTGGTTTTGTCATGACGCGGCTCAATTATATCTACCTCAAATACAGGTGGATGTTTTGTGTGTTCATGGTGCCCTCTTTTACTACATTTAGCTACTTCTGGTAAACCTATGTCTGGCGTCAACATGAAAACACCCGTTCTGTAACAAAATATTTACATTTATTCATTGAAGTTCAACATAAATATCTAACAAAACAGTTTTAAAAAAATTAATTTGGTCCTTAGAGATCAACAATTCCAATACAATTGTACAGTTAATGTTCAAGAATGAATACTGCTTTAAGCAGGTGCTATGGGTGTGAGGGGTGTTGTTATTCTCATGAACTTGAATCTAGAATTTTCATTTATTTATTTTCTATTTTATTCCCACTTTTGAGATCTTCCATTATATCGCTGTAGAATATACCAACAGATTAGCAACATGAGTGACATGTGGTTACTCTTCATTGCTTGATAGCTGAGTACACTATATCAATAAAATACCCTTTTTTTAAAAAGAAATAAAAAGCTGTCAATATAAATAATTTTGAAATTACTATTCACATCTATCAATATATCTCAGATCCATGTACAGTATCTTGCTATCTGCATGAATCTAATATATGAAATACTAGTAAAGCTTTGAAATATCAATGATTAAAAGTTCCAACTTACTCATTAAATTTTGGAGAGACAACTATCGCAATAGCCTCTGGCATCAGTTGCTGGTAGGGATATTGTGTATGAAGATCTACACTCGATAAAAACGCTGTCTGAGTGGGATGTGTCTGAAAGTAATAGAAAATATGTGACTTTTCTTGTATTAAAATTCTATTTACAAGCAAAGCCATCTGTCTATGAAATTAGTTTAAAAAGCCATGGTCTTCTTTTCAACTTCAAGAAAATGAAGAATTCAACATGAAAAGAATTCAACATGAAAAACTAACCTTTAGTCATTACGTCCATGGAACCTACATATTTACATATAGTCTCATCAACATAGAGATATTAAATGTTTCATATCTACAGATATTCACAATATGCATATCACACACAAATATGTGACTAAAATGTATGACCTTGACTTTTACGTCAAATGTCTCACCTATGTGACACACAATAAGAAAACAATTTTTAATGACACTATTGAGAATATTTAGACCAACATACTAGAGTATTCATGAACATCTAATCAGAGGAATTACATTAAACTCAAGGCAAGCTGGTAAGATAAATAAAAATACTTTGTCATTTACACAATGTTGCCTCTTGCTTTTCAGTGAACTTGTTTATAATTTATTTTATTCTTTTCCGGTCACCAACACAGTATAGATCATAATTGGTGACTTTCCAGCTTTACTGGTGGAGAAAGAGCTCAGACAACCCTATGCATTATTTCAGGCAAAAACGGGCACCTAAATAGAACCACCGACATTCTGTTAGCTAACTGGACAGCTTCCTCACAAGAAAAAAATAGAAGACACTGGTGCAGACCGAATCTAACAACTAGACCAATGTTAACACATACATGTATCCATCCTAGAGACAGTAGATCATTGCTGTCTTGAAATTCAAACAGATCTTCCTCATTTTCTGCATTACAACTGTCTGGTGTCCCTGTCTGTTTTGGTACCAGCACATGGGTGATAAAGAACGCTCCACGTTCCTGCAAATTATACAAATATGAAAATATGATCTCTGTTTATTCTATTATTATCACATGTCATGTTTTCACCTGATTCATCAAGAGCACTACATGTTAATGCCAATACTTATCTGTTAAAGGCAACAAGTAAAAAATCAAATTAGTATGTTTAACAGCTGTTATGTATATAGCTTCTCACTAAAAGAATAACTTTGTGACTGATAATGTTCATATCATAATGTTGATATTTATAGAAAAGATTTATTATTTCTAATGAAAAAGGGGCATAACTCTAGAAATACTGATCACTGGCTATATCTCTTGTCATAAAAATGTGACTTGTCCCTAATAGCAAGTATACCAAGAATGAGTACAATATCTGTAATAGTTTTAAACTTTCCTATTAATAACCAATTTTTACAAAAATTCTAGTTAAAAGGGGCATAATTCCAAACATATCTCTTCCAGAATAATGCCCCTTGTCATACAACTTCACCTTGCCATGATGAGCAAGTGAACCAAGTTCATTCTTGATACCTTTATAAAATTGTTTGGGAAATGAGCTTCATAAAAGTTTTTGCAAGGCAACAATGATGACCAAGAGATCATAATAGCGTGACTTTTTCTTTGAAACAGACAACCTAAAAACTAATGAAAATTTCAAGTGGCCTTCAGCTTCTATTTTCTGTTGGAAAAATTATCTAAAGATTTATCTAAAAATAACATATTTAACCTTTAGAAAAGCTGATTAAAGAATAACGTTAAGTGTTTCAATATAAACTTTCAATAATAGACAAAATTAAATGACATTCTTTCCCCCACATACCATCTTGCCAGATAAAATTCCACAGGTTTCAACGTTTTTCCTAGTATTCTGCTCTGCAATATTCATAAACTTTATAACAATATCTCTCGGAACTACTACATCTTTTAAACCATATTTATTTCCTCCATAGTTGGTGGTGCTAGCAAATTGGTCCACTAGTGGTTTTGTTGATCTATCAATTTCTGGTCTGAAGTAAAAACAATTGTACAATTTAACTAAAGCTGCCTAAACTAAAAATAATAATATATCTAGGTTAAAAAATTAACATGCTTAAAGTCTTAAATGCATGATGTAACCCTGTAAATTGCAGACAAACAAATGCATCTAACTTGTTAAAGTGTGACTTTGAAAATCTTAAGTATATAATTATACAGAAATAAGAACTTGTAGAAAATTCAAGTTTTGATTACCTCCCTTTGACTACATATAACATAATAGTAAGTTTTCTGACAAGTTTTACTTTAAGAAATAATCATTCATTTGCATAAAGAGCAGAACAAAACCATCATAAGACTTGAAATAGTAACAATATTTTTATCATAAAAATAATAAAAACAAATAATTTAATTACCTTATATCAAGTACATTAATGTAATCAGAAATCTATAATGGACAAACTAACTGTTTTACAGATTAAGTTAGCCTCTAGCCTCTACTGATGTCATTAATTTTTAGACAAAATGCCCTTTCAGATCATCATTTCTTCAGAATTTAAGAAGTTAATTTTTCCTGTAAAAAAACTTGCTTAACAGTCTTTATTAATAGTTTCAAGGTATAAGAATGTAGCTTACCTACCAGCTTAAATAGAAGATTAATCTTAAAGAAGAAAACATCTTGGACTAGTCACTTGTATTCATACATGAAACTAGTCTACCTCCTCTATAATCAATTAAAACACTGACTAGTTCTCCTTGACTCTTTTTGAAACAATACATGATATACTAAAATAATAATAAAAAGACACATATAAGTACAGACCTGTCTTGTATATGTGGTGTGTAATCTTGTGACAAATTCTTCTCTAATTTTGGTCTCTGACCTTGTCGTAAATCATTTGGTACAAAACTCAAGCTTCCAGATGGCACTCTTCCCTTCTCGTTATTCAATCCCGATGATGGCCTATTATCTCCCAGATCATCAATTAAAATATTTGGATCCCTTCTATCCTTGTCCTTTTGCTTTTCTTTTTCCCGTTCCTGAAGCTGACGGAATTTCTCTTCCTGTTCTTTTAGCCATAATTCTTCTGACTGCTCTCTTAACTTCCTACTACGTTCTTCCTCTTCCTTTCTGCGTATTTCTTCTTCCAAACGGAATTTTTCCTGTTCTTTTGCAATCTCCTCTGCTTTCTTTCTCTACAGATGCAATGAGGAAGTATTTAATTATGAAGTTTGTATCTTTCTTACATATTCTATTCTCAGCCAGGCAGCAACATTATGACAAAATAGAACCATTTATCATACAACACTGCCTCACCATTGTATTCATGTCTGTACTGATCATTAAAAAAAGACCTGTTTGTGGACAGTATCCTCCACTTTTCTCAGTGCTTGATAGTTTATGTTAAAAAGTAGAGCTAAAGATTTTGGCATGAAACTGAAAATTCATTTGGATATGATATTTTACAACATGAAAACTTCCATAATTAAAGGTCAAATTTAAAGCAATATAAGTGGTAAGATGGCGAGTATATTATCTTACTTCTTCCTCCTGTCTCTTGTTTTCTATCTCAGTATATCGTACTGTTAGCTTTCCTTTCAGTTCCTCGGCTACTGGGAATACTTGCTTTACTTTCTATAAAATAAAACATTATTTCTAGATTTAACTAACATCACAACAAATCATAATATTTTTATTCAAAGATAAACAACCTATGCACTGACCTTGACCTTTTCATATTATTGTTATAGCGCACATGAAAGCAATGTCTAAAACAGTTTAATTAATATTGCTAGCAATTTCATTCCTGTTTTTGACAAGTGTATTTTCATGGATTCAAGTGATTTAGTTAGTCTATAACAACAGCATAATAATCTCAAAATAGATACTTGTATAGCTTCTTTTCTTACACTATTGATTTTAATATGAGCCGCGTCACGACAAAACCAACATAATGGGTTTGCGACCAGCATGGATCCAGACCAGCCTGCGCATCCCCGCAGTCTGATCAGGATCCATGCTGTTCGCTTACCAACCCTAATACAAGTATAGAAACTGATAGCGAACAGCATGGATCCTGATCAGACTGCGCTGATGCGCAGGCTGGTCTGGATCCATGCTGGTCGCAAACACACTATGTTGGTTTTGTCGAGACGTGGCTCATATATTTTATACTTAGAGGAATTTTTCATATTGTAACATTTTTTCTTTAACAAATATTTCTTATATTTTATTTAAAATGTATGCAAATCAGTTTTATAAAAGATCAACATTTTAAACCTGTCTTATATTTGCAACTTCATTCTGAGGTGCGTCTTTGTATCCTGGGTGCTTAGGTAACTTCTCTACAAATAATCTGGAAAAAACAACAAAAATAAACAAGTTAAACTACATGTTGATATGTGTTCAAATTTTTATTGCATCAAGAAATAAGGACTTATTTAATACTCATTGTTGTTAAAATTGGAATATTAAAACAAATTTAACCATCAAACAGAAAACAAGAGGGCCATGATAGCCCTGAGGTCGCTCACCTGTATATAGGCCTCCCCAACCCCCACCCCAACGTTGCAGGGCCAATTTAACCCAAGGGCTTTTATTTGCACAAACTTGGTAGACACCCATAAGAAGATGTTTCATGCTAAACATCTAAGCTCTAGCTCATTGGGCTTTTCAAAAGAAGATTTTTTTTAAGTTTTTACTATACACATATAGTTAAAAACAATGACACCCCTGGGGCCGGGCCAGTTTTGACCCCAGGGCTTTTATTTGAACAAACTTTGTAGACACTTACTAGAAGATGTTTCATGCTTAATATCTAAACTCTAGCTATTTAGGTTTTTTCAAAGAAGATTTTAAGTTTTAGCTATACACTTATAAAGAAAATCAATGACCCCCAGGGCGGGGCCAATTTTGACCCCAGGTCTTTTATTTGAACAAACTTTGTAGACACTCACTAAAAGATGTTTCATGCTTAATATCTTAACTTTAGCTATTTGGGTTTTTTCAAAGAAGATTTTTTAAGTTTTTGCTATACACATATAAGGAAAATCAATGACCCCCGGGGCGGTGCCAATTTTGACCCCAGGGCTTTTATTTGAACAAACTTGGTAAACACCTATTAGAACATGTTTGATGCTAAATATCTTAGCCATAGCTCTTTGAGTTCTTTAAAAGAAGATTTTTTAAGTTTTTACTATTTGCATATAGGGAAAATCAATGACCCCCTGTGGCGGGGCCAATTGTGACCCCAGGCCCCGTGTTCACTAAGAAAAGATCAGGATCAGGATCAAGTGATCCTAATTTTATTTTCATTGTTTTATAGATCTAAAATTAATCATGTTTTGCTAAAATTAAATGATAGATATTCAAAATGTAAAAAATTGCCGATTTGCAAAGAAACCAAACTATTTTGGGATAAAACCAGCAAATAACAAAACAAATACAAAAATTTTCGGATCAAAATAAGGTTCAATTTTAGGATCAGGATCAAACTTTGGATCAACTGTAAAATGCCCGTATCTTGCAAAAATAACAATAGATTTATTCTAAAATTTCATGATCTTGCTTTTGCAAGTCCAGTTCTATCAAATTAATATTAGATATTTAATTTATGAGGATAAACAATGAACAATATTAGAGTTTTTAAATTTGATCCTGATCTTGATCCTGATCCTTAAATCTTTGTGAACACGGGGCCAGGGCTTTTATTTTAACAAACTTGGTAGACACTAATTAGAACATGTTTCATGCTAAATATCTTAGCTCTAACTCTTTTGGTTCTTTAAAAGAAGTTTTTTTAAGTTTTTACTATATGCATATAGGGAAAATCAATGACCCCCTGGGGCGGGGCCAATTTTGACCCCAGGGCTTTTATTTGAACAAACTTGGTAGACACCTATTAGAACATGTTTGATGCTCAATAACTTAGCCATAGCTCTTTGAGTTCTTTAAAAGAAGATTTTTTAAGTTTTTACTATATGCATATAGGGAAAATCAATGACCCCCTGGGGCGGGGCCAATTTTGACCCCAGGGCTTTTATTTGAACAAACTTGGTAGACACCCATTAGAACATATTTCATGCTAAATATCTTCGCTCTAGCTCTTTGGGTTCTTTAAAAGAAGATTTTTTAAGTTTTTACTATATGCATATAGGGAAAATCAATGACTCACCGGGGCCGGGTCAATTTTGACCCCAGGGCTTTTATTTGAACAAACTTGGTAGACACTCACTAGAAGATGTTTCATGCCAAATATCTAAGCTTTAGCTCTTATGGTTTTTTAAAAGAAGATATTTAAAGTTTTTTCTTTCGGTTGCCATGGCAACCAGAGTTCTGCATGGAATTAAATTCTTTGAACAATTTTTAAAGGTGACCACCAAAGGAACATTCCTGTGAAGTTTGGATGAAATTGGCCTAGTGGTTTATGAGGAGATGTCATTTAAAGTAAAAGTTTACGGACGGACAGACCGGACGGACGCCGGACGAAAAGCGATCACAAAAGCTCACCCTGTCACTTTGTGACAGGTGAGCTAAAAAAACAGTAGTTAGTATATTTTACAACAACAAAAAAGTGTTAAGAAATGCATACGTGATAAATTTCATGTAGAGTATGAATGCACTTTCATATTCTCCTTCATCTTTGTACACCTTTGCCATTCTCAACATTTCAAGACCAGACCTAAGGTATCGTCTAGCAGGAACTGCAGGTTCTGCTTCCACTTGACTCGCATGATTGCACAATTCTCGAACCTTTGCTGCCGGATCACGTGTGTATGATAGACTCAGGGCTATATTACTTTTCATTGATGAAGCCATATTTCTTATCTGCAAATATAAAATACTGGCTTATGTTTTGTATCATTACAATAGTTTTAATAAATTTAAACCATGGCCAGAAACCATGGCAAAAAAACAGGTACAAACTGTAACATATTACTCAAATTCTTTTTACAAGAAAAATATATATTATCTAAGTCTAACAATTCAGACTGTTTTTAAAAGATGCTGCAGTCTTCTATACTATAATATATTACACTTCTGGTAGAAGTATTATGTACAAAAATCAGTAAATAAATATAATAATCATTGTTAAAACTAAAGTCACAGTATTTAACATAAAAAGTTACTTTTAAATATTCACTTTGATAATTCATCATGTTTAAATAAGGTATAACAACTCTCATTAGATTTTAACAAATGGGGGACGAGATATTCCGAAACACTCAGAACACTTTGATGATAGGTTTGTCAAAATAGCTATTTTATTTAGAAAAAGAAACACAAATGTCTGCCAATTTGTGTTAATTTTTGTTTTGACATGACATCACAATTGTGGTTTGTGCTCTTGAATTTATATAAAATGAAATTGAAAATAAGAAAATAACAAGAGCTGTCACAGGAGACAGCGAAGCTCGACTAATAAAATACTGGACGCAATAAGGAGGACAAAACTATGAAAGAAAAATCAATTATGTATAATTATGTATTAAGTTATAGTAAAAATAAACATAAATTCCAAGATCAAGGGGAATAATTCTAGAAATAGTCATGCTAGAGTTATGGACCTTGCCACACAACATTTGAGTAATGATAAGAAATACATATTTGAAGTTTGAAGTAGATACCTTAAAAAATAAAGAAGTTATTATATTTCTTAAAGAAAATCCTAAGTTCAAAGAGAGATAAATCTGTAAATATTGCTTCAAGAGTTATGAACATTGTCACATAAAATGAAATTGATGATAAGGAATCAGTATTTGAAGTTTGAGGTAGATACCTTTAAAAATAAAAAAGTTAAAATAAAAAATAACATTTTTCTAGTAAATAAATCTAAGTTTATGGGGAGATAAATCTGAAAATATTGGTGCTAGAGTTATGAACCTTGTCACATAAGATGGGGATGATGATAATGTAAATATATTTGAAGTATGAGGTTGATCCCTTAAGAAATAAAGAAGAAACAGTAAGAAATAGTATTTTTTGAAGAAAATTCTAAGTTCAAGGGGAGATAAATCTGAAAATATTGGTGCTAGAGTTATGAACCTTGTCACATAAGATGGGGATGATGATAAGGTACATATATTTGAAGTATGAGGTTGATCCCTTAAGAAATAAAGAAGTATCAGTAAAAAATAGTATTTTTTAAGGAAAATTCTAAGTTCAAGGGGAGCTAAATCTGAAAATATTGGTGCTAGAGTTATGAACCTTGTCACATAAGATGTGGTTGATGATAAGGAACATATATTTGAAGTTTGAAGTTGATACCTTAAGAAATGACAAAGTTATAGTGAAAAATATTTTACTGCACCAAAACTTTAATCTAAAATCTGGACGCGGACGCCGACGCCGGGGCGAGTAGGACAACTCTCCATATACTTCGTATAGTCGAGCTAAAAACTAAAAATTTTGAAGGAAACTTCAATATGGTCAGAAAGCTTATTTTCTGCAAGTCTCCTTTCTAGTAAGCAAGTCACTGGTTAAGTTGAGGAACCAAAAAAAGCAGCAAGTCTAGAAAACCGTCTGCTTTTAAGTGAAGAGTTGAGCATTAGCAATTGTTCGCTTTTCAAAAAAGAGGCAAGTCTTACAGATGCCCACTTCCAAGAAAAGAAGCAAGTCTTAGAGAGGTCAGCTTCCCAGAAAAGAAGCAAGTGTTAGAACGGTTAGCTTCCCAGAAAAGAAGCAAGTCTTAGAAAGGTCCGCTTCACAGAAAGAAGCAAGTTCAAGGAGCCAAGCAAGTCTTACTTGTGAAGCAAGTTTAAGGAGTGCAGCAAGTATAAGGAGCCAGCAAATCCAAGGAGCACAGCAAGTCAAAAGAGCTAAGCAAGTAAAAGGAGCGCAGAAAGTCAAAGGAGCACACCAAGTCTAAGGATTGCAGCCAGTCTAAGGAGCCAGCAAGTATAAGGAGCTCAGCTAGTCTAAGGAGCCAGCAAATCCAAGGAGTGCAGCAAGTCAAAGGAGCTCAGCAAGTAAAAGGAGCCCAGAAAGTCAAAGGATTGCAGCAAGTCTTACCTGTGCAGCAAGTCTAAGGAGTGCAGCAACTATAAGGAGTGTAGCAAGTCTAAGGAGCCAGCAAATCCAAGGAGTGCAGCAAGTCAAAAAGCGCAGCAAGTATGGTGAGTGGAGCTCAGCAAGTAAAAGTGCAGCAAGTGTAAGTCCAATAGTGCAGCAAGTCCAATAGTGCAGCAAGTTTAATACTGCAGCAAGTCTAATATCCGGAAATCAAAGGCTGGGACCTAGAATTTAGCCAGGGCCTTGGCTTGCCCTGCTATTGACAACATGTGTAATCTAAAAGGAAAAATGTTAATCAATGATAATTTGGGAGGAATTCAGATAACAGAACAATCCCTAAATTTCGGCATAAGAACAATCATTGACAAGTCCCTATTAAAAATGGAAGCAGTGCATGAAATATGGTTACCGAATGACACCTTTAAAATAAAAAATTCAAAATAAATGAACAATTTTCTTTTTTATCTGACTTCCCCATTCATAAGCTTTGCCAAGTTTCATAGTACTGCAGCCAAGTCCAAGGAGTGCAACTTTAGGCTTAATAGTTGGTGTTATGATTGAAAACGGAACCGGCGCAGGATATACCAAATGACACCTTAAAAATGTTAATTGTTTAAAAATAAAAATGAACAAATACTTTTTCATCCGACTTCCACGTTCATAGGCTTTGCCTACTGTCATATTGTGGAAAAAGGTTTTTTGCTAATGAATAATACAGGGAAGTCAAAGTCCTGGGCCGCAAAGCGGCTCCGAGCTTTGGCTTGCCCAGCTATAGACTATACTCAGAGATCTGCCAAGAATTTGAAAGTACTGGGCCCTGGGCCCTATTGGTCTGAAAATGATGGGCCATTTTTACCAAAGTATGGGCCTTGGGAAAATAAGTAAACATTGACCAAAATAACTGTTAAAAAGTTTGTACATAATTTAATTTCCCTGGTAATAAAACTTAAATCATATTTTATTACAAGTGGTTCACTTATAATTCAGTACTTAACCAATAATTAAAAATTATGCCTACATGGTAACTTTCTAACTAATATTAATTGCAGGCAAAATATTTTTAAATGGCTGCTCAAAAATTTGATATGCAAATTTATTCACATAATTGCTTGTTCTTACTTGTAATGTTTTATATTGTGCATTATCCATTTAAGTGTTCCTACTTTGCACCAAATGTCCCTTACCACTGTATATTGACGAATTTTATTGCCCCTTGTATGCCTCTGTGTAGACAGCATACATCAAAGACATTTGCCGACAGACCTTTTGATCATGAAAAAAGTCATGCACAATGTTTCTCTGATTGGTTAATCACCTTGTCAAATATTCTGATGACGAAATATACATCTTTTTTTACACTTCATCAGCCAAAACTTGCATGAACTTGAGTGACCTTAGGGTTGATCAAGTTGAACACCTGTCAGATTATACTGTAACTTACAGCATTTCTTAAAATAGCAACACTTTTTTTTTCAGTTACCGATAATCATTTTAAATATTTAGTTGTTGTATAATTTGTTTGTTTGTTTTATTGGATTAAATTTACGGTAGTAGAAATGATTATCTGTGTGGAGAAGAAATGCGGTAAGAAGATAACATGGACAAAAGCTATAGGGGAATTGATAAACTTAAGAATATGCGTAATTACAGGAGCATCAGGGTAATATGTTGCTGTTGGTACCAGTTTTGACTGGATGACTGAATAACCCAGCCAACAGTTTTGTTTTCTTATAAGTCTGGCACAGATTTTAGATGCGCCCATGGCCCTTTGCTGCCGATTTTCCTGCGCCATTCTCATTTTTTTAGCGCCAATGGCGCAAAATCCCGTCCTCGGCAGATCTCTGCTATACTTGTATATTTAAAATGAAAAAAATATAGAATTCTATACCTATCAGCGAAATTTTCAGTGTCATTTCTTGTTGGGGCACCGTGATGCAATGATAAACAGCGATTAATCTGATAATTGACAAATCGCAACTTTTCGGCCTACAAGATAATGATAAAAGCCAAGGAATTATGGGCAGCCATCTTGGTTGGGAACCATAATAAGACAGGAAACCAGAATAAATGGAAGCAGTGTATAAAATACCGAATGGCACTTTTAAAACAGAAAAAGTAAAATAAAAATACTGACTTCCCCGTTCATAGGCTTTGCCTAATTTCATATTATGGTTAAATCAACGCATGCTATTCTGGTTAAGTTTCAAAAACAGGTTTGATCAAAAACTTTCATGCCAAATCAGATGCTAAACAAAAATATTAAAAAGCATCTTGTTTGGATGCCAAAACTACAATGTGTGAACAGGTGTAAGGATTCTTAAGTAAAACAAAATGAAAGAAAAAAAGATAGTAAATTTTCTACTATGAAAAATCACATATATCACTTAAAACGATACTCACTTAACAAAACAATTTCGCATACCATGACTCACTGACATGTGAACAACAGATTTATTTAAAAATAGCATTTAACAAATTATCAGATAATTCAGCCATTCAGCTTTTTTAAAAAAAATACAATTAAGCATATCTTAAATGACACTACAACTGTGTCCGAAAATAAGAATATACTTACATTTCTCAAAGAGTCATAATTTGGGATATTATCGGACAATTTTAACTAAATACAGAATTTTGTTTGCAAAATACAATAATAATTTTCATGTGTCTCTTTTCTCAATCTTGGACCTACATACTGAGGAAAAGATCAGAATGTATCCGAGAATATTGCAATGTGCATAAGATTTATATGTTGAAGACTAAAATATTGCTTTTTTCAAAATATATTTTTGATATATTCAAAGGCGTATATGAAATGTCAAATGTTTTTCACATATTCGAATTTAAAAGCAATAATTTTCATTTGAAATAATGATCATTAATCTGAAAATATTAATTTTCACGGACTGAAAATAAAAAGGAATTTGATTGGTCAAAAGAAGTCCTTGACGTTCAGCTGGAAACAAACTTTGGAATATTTTCACATTTTTGCCAAAATATCTGATATTTTAACGGTATGTCTCGATTGTTCCTACATAGAAGATTAACACTTTGTTAATAACATTACTGTTACATTGATGCAGCGATTGTCTTGTTGAGACAGTGTAAAATACTCTTAGTAAAATGAATTTTATTTCAGGCATGATTTTTAACATGTTTAGACTATTCAGTTCAACAGTTCATTTGGGATGCAAAATAGGTCTGCATCCGGACTACCAATCAAGGGTTTATGTTTTGCCAATATTTTCATCAGGATAAAAGTAAAGCTGTTGTAGAAAATCATACTTTATATTATCAGATTATATTATGAAATAATAAATTGTATTGGCTAAATTGTAACTTTAGTTAAGGATTCACTAGTTCTGGCTTCCATAGCTTTATACGGACGTTGTGCGACAGTAAAGTTATGGGTCAACCCTGTTTGCAAAGTCTACCAGAATTTTTGCAGTTGGTGTGCCGTACATAAAACCCATTAAAATCACCCTTATTAATCAAATTTGGATCAAATAAAAATATGCATTTGATAAATCAATTTTGAATCAATTCATGTTTTGTTTTTAATGAAACTTACATGACATTGTGAACCCAACTATTTGTTAGGGAAATATGTAGAGAATGTTTACCAATATGGAGTCTGCTTTCTAATGAAATCTCGCGGGACTTCAAGTTTTGGGAATTCTAGCATCTATTTTTAGTAAAGGACCATACACTATTTTTAGTAAGTGTACGATTTTATATAAAAACAAACAAATAATTCAATTGAATCATCACTCAAAACAATATAAATCCTACATGTTTTGGTACAATGTCTGTTATCGAATAAATACACTGTTACTCATAATTACAAAAGCCATGTTTTCAATTAAAAATAGCATTTTGGTCACGCGTCACCAAATGTCATGCAAAGGTATCCGAACCTAAATTCTCGCTAGTCACGTGATAATTAGGGCAGCAATGGCGGCTAATTTTATGAAATGTGAACCCACTGATAAACTTTGAGGCATTATTTCATCAATCTAACGTTCTGTGTTCAAAAATATAGACTGAAGTGTCCCAAATATATCTAACTACCTGTGGTAAAATAGCTTTTGTCCAGATCACGCAAATTTATTGAATTACAGCATGACAAAAATATGTCACGGTTCTGGTTGACTTTCGATACGGGATTGGCTTCAGCGAACAGGTCTAGCAGTACTATAAAATCTTTGCTTAAGTCTCTTTAGCTAAGGATTCACCTGTTCACTTCAGCTGTTCAGTACAGGTACAGGCTTTAGGAATGAAGAAAAAAGGCAATCTCCTTTAAAAACTCTGGACGTAAAAAAATAAATTTTAGACTATTTTTTACAAGGTTGTCTATAGAGTTTGTTTAGTCAAAATATATTTACGTGCCAATGCTAGATTTTGAGTTATTTTTGTTCTAGGCAGAATCTGGCTTTTGTAGAGGCGAGATATTGCCCAGACTGGAAAATAGCACCCTATCTCGTTGCGCAGTACAATTAGTTGGACTAGAGTTTGATATGCAAGAAAAAATTACTGCAGTATACTTTACCACATTTTTTTTCACTAAAACCCATGGTATTAAGTTATTAATTAATCCTTATAGTATACTGGTTTAATCGTTCACCTCTAATAGTTGTTGAATATTGCAGTGCTTTACTGTTAAATCATCAATATTTAAATTAAATTCACAATTTAGAATATTAATTGGATAATTTCTTCCTCTCTCATTAGAATAGCCTATCTTTTAATTTTGTTTGGAGAAAGAAGTCAATTATCTCCATTTTTTTTCTTGGTGAGCTTCAACCCAGAATTTCACTTTCTGAGGGCAGTGAATATTATAGTTATACAAGAAAACATACTTTCTTTTAGTACTTTGTATTTGTGATGATAAAATCAAGCATTCATAACATCATGGTGACAGTTTATCACACTAATATAAATAGCTCATCATTCAACAAACCTTTATTTTTGTGTATTGGGGGAGGGGGAATTTTCCAAGAAATTCCCATGACAGTCCAATGTTTCGTGTGGGCGTGGCGATTCTCTCAGAAATTCCAAAGAGGCCTTAGCCTTCCATATTTGGAAATTTAACCACAAATTTTAAATTTGATTAGGGGAAAAGGGGGCTGACATGCAGAATAAACAAATAATATGTGAAAAATTGTCATAAAGTCTAATATAATCTTAAAATGCCTTTTATCAATTCTTCCAAGTCTCCCTCCTGGGGTGTGTAGCTGTTGATCTTACAGAGCTTACAGTTGTTAAGTGGTCAGTGAAGTTCTCAATAATGTACACAAGCCATCTATTGGACTTTATATCTTTTCCTTGGCAACTGCAGTCCATTGAGAGATTCTTAGTGCCATGCCAAAGTTGGAGTCAACTGTTTGTACTCTAGCTGATAAACTGGGTAGACCTATATACATATATATACAATGTGACTTCTAGTGTTAGATATTTTGCACTCTCAGACTTCCAAATTTTGGAAATTAAGTTAATGGAAATCCTGTCAGGAGTTTCATCACTTTTGTTTAAGTGTCACTCACTGGACTTGCCACTACACACATGACTATGAACTGTAACATTTTTAGATTCTATTCCGTTCCATGTCACCCTTAAATCAAAGAGATAACCATACTTTTACTGGGACAACACTTTCCACATACTTCTCATAGTATATGTACATGTATAGAGCATTCATAGTATTTAATACCATTCTTAGAGGAATTTCATAATATTTACCATTCTTAAAGCAGATTTATGATAATATAAATACATGTTTTGCTATTGTTTGATGTGTATAACTTAGCTGGAATGTATTCTAGTAATACTAATTAATAATACATCCTTGATAATAGTTATGTCTGGGTTTTTACAATTGACAGACCTTGGTTAAGCCTTACAAGCACTTCCCCTCTAAGAAAGAAAGCAACAAACCAAAATCAGAATAAGATTTTATCCAATAAGGTTTTTATTATGATAATTTGATTTTTAATGTAAGTGGAATGTAAAACTGATATAAATCAACTTTTTAGCTGCTTTATAATATCTTTGAATAGTGCAGTAAAACTGTGCATACTCAGAATTCCTTAGAGGTGCTCCACTTTCTTAAAGTGTAGTCTTTCATTCTGTATACTATAATAGGCAAGAAATAGGATTTTTTCAACCCCATAAAAATGTGATTTTAAGTTCTCTTAAATAATATTGTACCTGAAAGCACAATTCCAAGAAGTTCCAAACCTGCACAGAGCACTATGGTTATGTAAATGCAATAATATGCTACCTAGAACGATCATAATTGATCTTATTGTGAAAATGACCAAAAATTGAAAAACATTTCAATGCTTTTAACTCAAATTGGGCTTATAATAGCACAAAAAGACAATTTTCAATATATTTTAGAGTACTAAATTATATTTTGCATATCTTTTTGTTTTAATTAAGTGCCACAGCTGATCTATGTAAGACATTTAAATTTTATGCTTGTAGGCTTTTGGACCTCAGTGGAGTTCCTTTAAGGGCTGTTTCTGTATATTTGAAATTTTAGATATAATTGCTGTAGTATAAGTGTAGTGGAAGCCACTTAATTTGTAAACTACTAATTAGAACAATTTTTTATTTTTTCATAAAAATCTGCATTAATCTAGAGTGTTTCTCCTTTAAAATCTCAACAAAGAAATGTTTTTACTTGTAACTGTACCTTTTAGGCTGAAAAGTTTTGAGATTTTTTCAAAGGTTTTAGAAATTGAGTGCCAAAATACATACATACAGTCTTTTGACTGGATCATTAATTACAAAGCTCCAAATTTTGGATAAAGTTCTGACAATTTATGCCAAGTTAAATATTCTACTTTAGTCTTTTATACAATACAGCTAAATTAAAGTTCATGTTAAGTCTGTATATGACATTGATGTCATCTTGATTTATGTTTTGAACATCCTAATTATTTTTCTTTCCTCGGTTTCCACAAATACCTGGCATGTGCTTGTTTAAATACTTCATTATGTTGGAAGACTTCCAGAATGGGTTTTTTTTTTGCTTTGAAGTCATTACAGTGTAAAGGTGTAAATATCACCCTTGGTTATTATGTACTGCTGCGATGGCTCCAGAATGCGGGTAGTTAGTTAGACATAAGTGCTGTTTGATCCACTGGATGAAGATTCTGGTTTATGAGATTTTATTTATTGATAAAAACACATTTATTATTCTTTTAAAATTCTGCAGAATTTTGACTGTCGTGGAAAGTCTGAAAGTTTATTTGATTAAATTAATACTTTCTCAAGAAACCTAGCAGCTATGATTGTATGTCAATCTGCATAAGGTATTTACTTTGTTAGTTTTTTAAATTTTGGGGTTTCTTTGCTTAAGGTGACTATATATTTTAAATAATGATGGTTGAACCAATATTCTTACAAGTTTTTATTTTAAAATGATGGAATGAATATGGATGCAAAAATTAGCAAATGCTGGAGCATATTTCTGATTGTTACTTTAGGAAAATGATTCTTGTAATATAATGCTTAATAATATAGCCAGAGTATTAAGGTCATAGAAGTTAGTTCAATATGACTTTAATTGTAGGAAACAAGATATCATACATTATACATAGGTATAGATTTACCCTTGTCTTTCAATCCCTCTTTCACACTTTGCATACATTTGGGTACTTTGGTGGCTACCGGAACAATATGTAACTATACATTTCCTTTGATTTAATTCATTATGTAAGCTGTAATGTGGCTATGCTTGTATGTGGCTAAAAAACAATAGGGAGAACAAAAGAGTAGCCACCTTAGTAGCCCAATGTTAGGACATCTGTCCATTTGTCCGTCCAAAGACTGATAAAACAGTAGAATGCGGGGCATAGGTGTCATATGAACACATTTCTAGTGTGTTTTTTTTTAAATGCTGAGAGTTTTGAGTATATTTGTGATGTTTCTTTGGGTTAGTTTTATTGTTATGTTTTTAAAGGAACTCTGCTGTCAGGCCAAAAGCTTAAAACTTAGAATTGGATTT